CCCCTAACGCAGGAAGCACACATATGGTACATGCCTCCACACACAGGATGCACATATATGGTACATGCCCCCCACAGGATGCACACACATAGTACATGCCCCCACATAGGGTACACACACATACATGGTACATGCAGCCCTCATACAAGGTGCACATGCATGGTACATGCAGTCCACATACAGGAAGCAGGGCCCTGGCTCAACAGCTAGCACCTTCTCACTCACTCCTCCTCTGTGACCCTGACTTCCCTAGGCAGCATGGGATGAGGTCTAAAAGAGTCAGTGGCAGTTGGGGACAGACAGGTAGTATGACCAAATGCTTATCCCCCAAGCAGGGCCACTGGTCTAGGCCATCCAGACCTAAGTAGCTGGAATCCTGTAGCCATTCCCATCTGTGGCATCTCTCATGCTCTCTGCCTCTCGCAACTGTCTCTGAACACCTCTGGGCTTCTCCAGTCTACGGGTGGGACTCTTTCCAACCTGGTGGCCACACTGACCCCTGAGCTTTCCCAGCAAGGAGCCCTGGAGGGTAGAGGTGCTGCAGGACATGGAAGGGGAGCCATGGGCCTCTGGTCTCTCCTCTGAGAGCCTCAGGGCTCTCAGGCATTTGCTTTAGGCCATGGTGCTGCCCAGAGCAGGAGACCACATTCCTGACTCACCATAATACAGAGCCCCAAATCTATCCCCCCTTCTCCACTTTCTGGCATAACACAACCCATGCACTCCCCAAATCCTCAACCAGCCACAAGAGAATGTGATGGGGCCACCACACCACTGGGCACTGAGTGTCTTTGATTCCTCCGTGGAGATGTGAAGATGGAGTCACAATGACCCAAACCCAGTGGGAGTGTCTGAGGGTGAACAGAGAGGAGGTGAGCATGGAGGTCTCATCCGGGAGAAGGTGCTCTGTGCTAGTGAGGGGACTTCAAGGATGTCCCACGGCAAAAGGGGCACCTTTCGAGGCACAGTTCTCAACATATGCACGCCAAACCGCAGCATCGAAACATGCACGGCCAAAATGAACGACACTGGGGAAAGAATAGGCAAGTCCATAGTCATGTGCGGAAATCATCTTCCTGGAAAGGATGGAGCCACTGTGCAGGAAACCAGCGTGAAGATGCTCCATCCAGTCTGCCGCAGTGAACGTCACTCCACAGAACAGTCCAGGCCCCCAGCAGCCTGGTGTTCCTGCCTTCCGCTCCCCAGGACCCTCGCCAAGACAAATGGCACCCCAGCCCAACAAACTTCAGCAAACTCTAAACTAGCAAAGGAAACGTTAATCACAACCTTGAGTCAGGAGCCGGAAAGCAATTCACCACCCAGACAAGTTACAGAGCCGGAAGATGCTCCGCTCTACGGAACCGCAGCTGGATGTCAGGGAATGCCTGAGCCTGTGGGCCTTGGTCCATAACTGCAACCTGAGAGGGAGGGAGAAGGGGGGAGGGAGGAAGGGAGGAAGGGAAGGAGAAAGGGAGGAAGGGAGGTAAGGAGGAAGGGAAGGAGGGAGGGAGAGTCTGAGGCTGCAGGTCTGTGGGGCAGTGGCTGTCTCAAATATGACCCAGGCTAGGCCTCACCATCCACATCCACATCCACATCCACATCCACATCCACATCCACATCCACATCTGGAACAGGTCTGACTGACCCAGCTCCGTTTTCTGGTTGTCCACCCTTAGACAGGTCAGTCACCCTCTCTGAGCCTCCTCAGTCTCCTGTGAAAAAATAAGGTGTTAGCATGAACCCCCACATGCCTCCTGTGAGGCTGGCGGGGCAGGGGCTTTTCTCATCTATTGTCCAATCACAAACCACCTCCCTCTCAGATGGATAAGGCCACTAAGACCCCTGAGAGAACTGGGGGATGTGGGGTCGTAAAGTCCCCTCCCCCATCCACACTGAGGATGTGAGACCCTCACCCAGTCAAAGCAGCTGCTGATGAATGAGCACCCAGAGGGCCAGCCTCAGCAGGACTTACACAATCCAGTCTGAGCCTGAAAGTGACCTGTCTTCCCAAAGAAAGACACTTATCTCCCTCTGTCAGGAGATCCCAGGAGGCACAGGCTGGCTGGCCCCTCCTACTGCTGACAGGCTAGTCAGCAAGAGACAGAGCCCCACTTTGAACTGTTATCTCGGCAGCCTCTGGTGGGGAGACAAGGTTGGGTCCTTTATCTGGGAAGCTAGTCTCAGAAAAAGGACCTATATAAGTCTGGAAGGTTCCAGAAAGGTCTGGCTAGTCTGGAGCAGGACTCCTGCAAAATGGCTGAATGATTCATGATTGAGTCTCAGGACCCAGCTGCGAGGCCTGGGGTTTCCAGAGACTGCTGACCTGGCCCTATCTTCTTCCATTGCTCTGGTTTTCTGGGCAACCACTGGCTGCCAAGGAAACTGAGGCAGGGCCCAGAGGCAGCCCAAGGCTGCCCAGTGAGAAAATCCAGTCTCTTCTTATCTCTCAGCCCTCAGCGGCCTCCTGCCATGGCTTCCACAATCCCACCCACACCCAGAGCAATGAGTCCTCTGTCGGTCCCCTCCCGTGACCCAGATCTGTCCCACGGGCTGCAAGAAGAAAGAAAGCAGGGCCTGGGAGAGGGGTAGTGGCCAGGACTGTCACCGGGGCTTCTCTTTGCTGGTGAGCCATGCACTCAGCTCTTCCAGGAGTCTTCTTGTATCCCCAGGACACGCCCCTCCTCTGCCCCCATGCTGGACATTGTCTGGACTCCACCTGGTATTAAACTTGGTGCAGGAGACTCACAGGGTGCGCTCTACCGTGGGGCTGTCCGCTCTGAGCTCAGCTGGCAGGCCCACTGGTCATGGCCCGTGTCATCATAGCTGGGTAACACGTCCTTCTGTGAACATCCTTTGGTTTCCTCACCCTGCCCTGCTGGTGTCAGGCAGCCTACAGCTCCCATCTGCCTGAACCCTGCGGGTGGGAGCCCTGTCCCTTCCGGATTGGAGGTGAATGGGTGGCCACGCTTCGTTCCCTAGTCCCCACCATCTGTCTACTTTCTCGCCTAACCCACCCATATTATAGATGAGAATGCAGAGGCTCAAAGAGGGAGTGGAACCACGCCATGGTCACACAGCAACACGGATTTTCAGACCCTCAACCTCTGCTCTCTCCCTGACCCTAACCTGCCAGGGAGTCACTGTGGCCTGTGAACTGCATCACCACCTTGGAGGTTAAAATGCACACTTCTAGGTCCCACTTTAGACCACCTGAATTCAAACAGTTGTGATGAGGTCTTAAAATCAGCATTTTAGCCCACACCTAAATGTGTGGGCTAAAATGAGTGTGGCCCCACTCATCAGCACTGTGGAGCCTGAGGCCATGTGAGCAATTCCTCTTGCTGCTCACTAGAGGGAGCCAGAGCCCCAGCGACCGGGCCCCAGAAGCCCTCACTTTAGGTCTAGGAGATTTAGCCATTGGACACACACACACACACACACACACACACACACACACCTGAGTTCTAGCTCTGCCCTCCTGAGATGCCCATTAACCTCCACTGTTACTTCACAGAGCACTCGAGCCTCAGCCTTGATACTTTACAATATGTTAATGTCTACCATTAGCTTGAGGAGACGAAAGGCTGTCATGTAATTCGCGTGCTCCGCCGTCTCTCAGGTTTGAGGAACACAATGTTATATCTGTAGGTGAGCTCTGGTGCCGTGGCTCTTGGTAGGCTCATAAGGAAAAATATCCAAGGAGATGGCAGCCCCTACAGCAGCCCTCCACCATCCTGTGGCTGGATTGCAGGACCTCTGCACACCCCGCCCATCTTAGGACCCTCTGTGTTATGAGGTGGGGACCCTCTGGAGGCTCGCGTCAGCTGGGCTGGCCCTCAGCGTTTGACCTATGATGGCTACGGGAAGTAGGTCTCCAGCTAGTGTGACACTAGGGTGGTGGCTGGGGCTGGGGCTCTGAGAAGACACAGCCTTGCTCTAGGGGGTGAGGTGAGAGGCAAGAGGAAGGAAACCGGTGGGGCAGTGAGCATCCTAGGGTGTCAGCGTTCTCAGAAGACCAGAGTGCGGTGGAGGTGATGGTGATGGTGGTGGTGGTGATGGTGATGGTGGTGATGAGGATTGTTGTGTTGGCGATAATGGTGCTGATGATGGTGAAGATAGTAAGGATGGTGACGGAGAGAGCCATGTAGGTCACCTGTCATCTATGAACAAAGATGGATCCGTCTCCCCGGTACCCATTACATAATGATCCCAATACTCGCCAGAGCCTCTCTGCCAAGGCTCCTTGTCAACGCTTCGTTCACTCGGGGAGCCAGCTTCTGGCATTCAGCTTCTACCCGAGGTAGTTTGCTGAGGAGGAAAACATGGTCTCTTACTTCAGGGAGCCGCCAGCATGTTCATTGGTCGGGCATGTGACAGGTACTCAGCTTCCCCAACACATGTCCTGCACGCCTCAGTCTGCCTGGTGTCTGCCCCCTAGAGCGTCAGACACCCTGGCAGCCTTGTGTGATCTGGGCGGAGCTCATGCATCAGACACCCTGGCAGCTTTGTGTGATCTGGGCGAAGCTCATGTTTCCGTGCTGCTGTTCGTTTCCGGTTGTGTAGTATTCGGTCACGTGACTGCGGCATACAGTGAGTGTCAACTTCACGGACACCTGCGTGGATTCTGATGTTTGGTGACTGTCGCTGGGCTAAGTGACTGAGAGCCTTTGTGTGTAGATCTTGTGGGGACACAAGCCCTCCTTTCTGTAAGGTAGGATGGCTAGGGCACAGTGTGCCTGGTGTACAATGATTTAAAATGTGTCAAGGCAATCCCTGCTTCCCAGTAGTGGGGTTTCAGGACCCATCAAATGAGGGCCCCTGGGACAGAGAGTGGTGCAGCCCAGGCTGGCCACAAACCAGGCATCCTCCTGCCTCAGTGTCTTAGTTAGGGTCTCTATTGTTGGGATGAAACACCATGACCAGAGCAACTTGCACGAGGGAAGGGTTTATTTGACTTTTGCTTCCACATCACTGTTCATCATCAGAGGAAGTCAGGACAGGAACCCGAGCAGGGCAGGGAGCTGGAGGCAGGAGCTGATGCAGAGGCCATGATGGGGTGGGGGATGCTTAGTGGTTTGCTCAGTCTACGGAGCTGAATCCTGAAGAAGGAGTCTCTAACACCTGAAGGAATAAATGGTGTGAGCAAGCAGCCAAAGGAAAGAGCTTTCTTCCTTCATGCCCTCTACATAACCTGGCATAGAAGGTGTGGCCCAGACTAAAGGTCTTCCCCCATTTCCAGATCTAGATTAAAGGTCTGTGACTTCCCGTGTCAAGATACGCATTAGAAGTGAATCTTTACCTCAAATTAAGCCAAACCAAAAAAAAAAAAATCCCTCACTTGTATGCCCTCCATGTTTTAATTTTAGATAATTCCAGATTCCGTCAAGTTGACAGCCAAGAACAGTCGCCACACATTCAGTCTCTCAGAGCCGGGCACAGGAATGTGCGCCGCCACACCCAGCCAGAGCTGAGTGTGGTAACACATACACCTCTACCATCGTCACAATGGTCTCTGTGTCGGTGCCAGCTGTGCCCACTGAAGGCCCCACACAGATGGTCTGGGGCACACCTTGGGAAAGCTGGTAGGCCTCAAACATGGTGAGGAAGTAGGCAAGGGCAGATAAGGAAGCAAGAAGCATGCTGGGATGGTGGACGCTGGAGAGAAGACTCACTTGGCCGCAGGAGGTTGGCAAAGAGGAGAGCACTGATCACCTGTAGTACCCTTACCCCGTAGCTCAGAGGAAGAGGTGTGAGGAACAGCCAGACACTGAGGACGCCGTCCAGACCCAAGCAGGCCAGGGAGGAAGGAGACAGCAAGGTGACTGAGATGAGACACCCGATAACAGGGACATGGTAGTGCCATTGACAGAGAAGGCATGAAAGACGCTAGGGGCACAGAGCCCTCTCACTGACCTCGAGACCTGAGCCACCTCTGCTATAAAGGAGAAGCCCACAGACATCTCATGAAGCCATGGGTGCTTTAACTGTTTATCTTGGTATCACGCACACAGTCACATAGACACACACAAAAAGCAAACTTCAGGGCCACATTCTTGGGTTAATGTCATCTGTAGTTGGGATATAACATGAGGAGGAAGAGGGAAGGAGGTGAACGGGAAGCAGAAGCGCTCTGGGCGGTACCTCCGGCATTGTTCCGTCCACCCCTCACCTTAGGATAGGGAAACTGAGACACTAAGGGCCTGTTTAGTGACAGACAACAGAGCCAGTCCCTCTCTCCATCCCCAGCCCGATGGTGTCGGTCCAGAGACCAGGCTAAGTTTCTTCTCGCTGTGCCCGGTGACACCCCCAGCCATTGTTTCGTTTCTCTCGCTCACTGTGTAAAATTAACTCAGCCGTGGGTTTCAGGAACACACACCTGTCACCTCCTTCAGTGGCAAGAAAAGAAACTGGCAGGGACTTTCCTGCCAGCCTGGGCGGGTGAGAGGCCAACGGGGTGCAGGGTTGGTGAGAGGCAGACGGGGTGCAGGGTGAAGGGCTGCGCCTCACTGTGGGGCAGAAGGAAGGTCATTTTCCATCCACCCCTCTCCTCATAATGTCCCAAGTACACAGTGCTCTGTACTGAAGCATGGCACAGGAACAAGAAACAAAAGCAAGGAAAAAAAAAACAAAAACACAGGTTCTAAGTACACCTCGGCCATATTGTCCTCTGCACACAGTAGGTAGCAACAGCACCTGTGGGGAGCCAGAGGCAAAGGCGGCGTTAGTCAGGAGCCCTGAGAATCCTGCTCTGTCACCCCAGACCACCAGACCACAGCCCCAAGCTGTCCCCAGTCTCCTGCAGACATGCTGCCCTGCACCCAGCTCCCCGTGTAGGGACCTGTGGCAGCTGGACACAGGAGTCTGATCTGTCTCTCCTCTCTACCACAATCATCAGGATATGTCACTTGGGTGAGACCAAGTTGCGTTTTTTGTAGATTAAACGAAATTACGGGGAGCGGGGTTCGGTGGCTCTCTCTCTCTCTGCCTTTGTCATCTCTATCGATAGCTCCCTGGCATCACTTCCCCTCCCGTGCTGTGTGAACAGGCTATGCCCAGCGCGGGACCCCTTGCTGACAGATCACTTGCCAAAGAGATCACGTGGGCCCATGTGAGAATTTCCTGGGAACGGATACCCAAGAAGAAAACTGTGGGGTCATTCTTTGTTCTTGGGAGACTCATCTCCTGTAGGTCCCCGACAGTTCCCAGAGGCTGCACTTCCAAAGTTAAGAGACAGCTGGAGAAGGTGGCTGGGAAAGGGAAATTCCATAGGGGCCAGCAGGGGGCGCTGCTGCCCTGGGCATCCTCTAGGCTACAGTTACCCGGAGGGTCACCTAAGGCTCCTGCTCCAAGCTACGTGAGCCCCTACACAGGCAATTGATAATAACGGGAACTGCAGGAAAGGGTCACAAGAGTTAGCTGGGCAGAAAAGAGGTCTCCATCTACCCAGCATCTTCTCCGTCCAGATGTTCGGCCCCCAGGAAGGAGAACTGGAGGCACAAAGGGACCCTGAAGCCATCCCAGCACCCTGGCTCCCAACTGGTGTCCACGCCAAGCATCTACCTGGGACTCGCCCCATCTTTATGGCCTTACTCACAATTAATATCTGGACTTTGAAATACTGCCAGGGTAAGACAGAAAATGAAAATGAAAAAGAAAGTTGAGCAAGAACTTGGCACCGAGGCCAAGGCCAGCCACCCTGGCTAGCTGGCCCTTTTTCCGACGTGATAAGCATTGACCAGGTTGGTCCTGGAGGGCAGCCCTGAGGATGGAGGTCAGAGGTTTGACCCTTCTTTCCTTCCCTTCCCACCATGACAGCAATCTCATCCGATCATCTATCTGTGCCCTGGGGCCTGTCGGTTAGGGGACCGAGAGCTACCCTGAGCACAGCAGCCTCGACGGCCAGCGCAGACTGAAAACCATGATGACCCCTTCCCTGGTGAATTGCCCTTAGCAGAGTGCAGACAGTCTCCCTTCCTGTCTCATTCTTCATTCCTTCCCAACAAGGACAGGAGAGTGGCCAAAGGGATCAGGAGCCCCAGTGGGTCACAGACAGAAGAGAACCATGGGTGGGGAGGAACGGGGCACTCTGTTGGCAGTTCTGCCCTTGGTACTCTGGGGTTGTCCCTGCATCCTCCATCTTTCTCGGGTGCTGTGTGACCTCAGGGAATTGACTCTACCTCTTTTGACTTCACGCTCGGCCTCTGAACAACAGAACAGAAGGAACTCATGAGATCATGGCTTCCATGCCGTCTGGTGCTTAGAATAGAATCTGATGTGCACTAAGAACCCATCAATGACCGTTACTTGCTTACCACCCCGTCCCGCCCCACACATAGCCCACGTGTGCCTCCCTGCACCACACAGCCACACGACCCACCACCTCTCCGCATGTGCCAAGCAGGGCCAGCCAGGCAGCAGGGACAACACCAGGGCAGATTCCTATTGCTCAATTTCAGGGCTATGTCGGGGGCCCAACGGTCAGGAGTCCAGGCTTTGCTGCCGGCCTCTGGCGGCCACAGGCTTTTAATATTTTAGAGAAGTTGCCTTCAGCCCACTTCCTCTCCCTCAGATTCGTCCTCTGTGGGTGGGTTCTGATCCCCGGTGTTCCCAGCTCCCTGGGGAGGGGACATGCAGGGTAACAGAGAATACTGAAGCAGTCAGGCAATGATACCAAGTCACCCTCGGGGCCCATATCAGCACCCTGACCCCTCGTGTAGATGAGGCCCTCCTGCAGCCCTTCATCAGTCCAAACCAGGGTCCTGATTTCTTTTTCTGTCCCCTTCATCTTTTTTTGTGACATATAAGCCCAACCAGTTGATGAACCAAAAGTCCTTCTATCTGTGGGCAGGTGTCCCTACTACTAGACGCATGGGATGGGCTGTTCATCGCCCATTCCAAATCTACACAGGCAGACGTGTGTGATGGCTTCCTCTGCCCCTGTGGGAACAAGCCAGTTGCCTTCTCCCACTTCCAAACACAAAAGCCCACTGAGCTACAGACCCCACACAGCCTTCTCCAGTTTGAGCAGTGACCCAGGAGCAGCTCAGCCAAGGGTTTGGGGCTCAGTCACGTGTTGTGTCTGGACATGGCTCCCCTCTTGGGAAGCACAGCTGACTACGACAGTCTCATAGTGAACGAGACCAGGCATGAAGTAGAGTAGGGGTATCACACTAGAGCTCTGTCTTCTCTGTTCTCCTGAATGCACTGGGCCTCTCCTGCAGGCATGGCCCAGCCCTTTGAAGAGAGCACACACATGTCCTCCCACTGTTCTAGGGCTCAGAAATCCCACATGTGTCTCGCTGGTCTCAGATCCAGCTGTGAGCAGACTTAGTTGTCTCTGGACCCAAGAGCAGGGCTGCTGCCCTGGCTTCTGTTGCCTGAGCTCCTCTGCCCCTGCAGGGCATCTGCCAGCAAGGCATGATCCAACATGGCGTCCTGCAGTCTCTCTAGCTCTGCTTCTCTTTTCCTATCTTTGACTCTGCTTCATGTGAGGAATCTGTAATGCCATGGACCACAGAGACCATCCAGGACAATCTCCCCTCCCAAGGTCTGCACTTAACTGTGTCTGTAAAGTCTTCTCCGATGGCAGGCACCTTAGGCGCCGGTTCTGGAGATTTGAGAAGGGACATCTTTGGGGGTTGGAGGAGCCCTATTCTGCTAGCCATACTAACCTCAGAAAACTTACTGGTAGTCTCCAAGATCTCCTCTCCTCTAAGGTTTGAGTAGAGGTAATGGAGGAAATGGTGATGATGAAGATGATGCTGATAACAGGGACAATGACCATGATGGTAAGAGTGGTGGTACTTGTAAGGTGGTGATGTGAGGAGGAGGATGGTGATGGTGGCAGTGATGGTGGTGGTGATGGTGGTGGTGATGATGGTGGTGATAGTGATGTTGATACTGATAGATACCCATCTTCTGGGATATATTGGGAGTATTGAATGTCTAGTCATACAGCTGACCAGACACATAACAAATGTCACACATGTGAGCCTTTCATATAAACATGGGAAGTTTTCCTTCAGCCACAGTGAAGTTTCTGCATGTGACTTTAGCCATTATCCCTGGATAGCTAACTTGACATGTAACACAACAATCCTTGGGCCTTCAGAAGAAGCCATGTTTCCACCATGTCATTGAAAGATTTCAGTGATGTGCACTGTGGGGCCTCCTAGTGGGGAGCAGGAGTGGGTAGAGTATGGCACCTCATCTCTTGGTATGGTTGCTCTACCCCAAAGCTGGCTGGTCCCTTGCACACACCAAGATCTTTTTACCCAAAAGCCAACATCCCAGCTCTTTCCAGCTGGCTTCTGCCCATGCCCCAGCCTACAGCCATCCACAATGGTCAATGCAAAGAGGTCTGCATATGGCCCATTTGGCTTCTGCCCATGCCACAGCCTACAGCCATCCACAATTGTCAATGGAAAGAAGTCTGCATATGGCCCACTCAAACCCAAACACTCGGTGGACCATTGGCTCATGACCCCTCTTAGATCTACCAGATGATACAGCACAAGGCTCTGGACTGTGAGGGGGGTGGTCGCTTAATGTGAAACTCAGAAACATTAAATTTTATTAGTCAGGGGCTAGAGAAACAGTCAGTTGTTAATATAGCTCCTACTGTTGTTATAGAGGACCCCAACCTGGCTCCCCACAACCATGTAAGTCACAAGCATCGCATTGCAGGACAGCGCCCACCTAGCGGCCACGGTCTCCTCTCACCATACTGTTAATTGGCATTGATTCTATGACCATGAAAGGCCAAGATTCTAACCTCGTAATGAAGATTCTGAGGGGCTGTCTAGGTTGCCAGGACAGACAGCTGGCATGTGACCTGGTGCTCTGCCTCCACCCAATATACTGCTCCCTTAGCAACCAGGTGGCCTGTCAAGGCCCTATGCAGTTTGGTCCCCAACAGTGCAGCAGGACATTGGGCCAGCAGAGTGGTCAGTGCATGGCTCCTAGTTCAGGAAGGAATGTGGGTTTTTTTTTTATTTAGCTAATACACGTGTATGTGTGAGCACCTATGTGTACAGGTGCGCCAAGCGAGCAGAGGTTAACCTCAACCATGTCCTTCAGTTGCTCTGGAAAACAAGGTTTCTTACTAAACTACCAAGTCCTAGAAATCCTCCTGTCTCTGCCTTCCCAGAGCTGGAATCATAAGTATGCTTCATCACACCCAGGTTTTTCACATGGGTTCTGGAGAGGGAGTGCAGGGTCTTCAAGTTCACAAGGTAGGCACTGGGCTAGCTGAGCCATCTCCCCAGCCACAGGCCTGGATTCTGAGCCATCACAAAGGCAGCAATGTTTAACAGTCACACAGGCCTGACCTGCTTCTCTGCCCTCCCAAGGAGATGAGGGCTCTGCATCCCACACCCCGACTTTTTCAAACAAGAAAAGGGACCCTCAGAGTATACGGCAGTGGCTCTCAGCAGGTCTGTGTCAGCAAGGGAGCAAGAACGCAGGTCTCTAAAACACACTCCCTTCAGCTGAGGAAGATACCATCCCAGGGACCAGCTCCAGCACACCCCCAAGTCCTGCTTAGCAACACATCAGGCTATTTTTACTTAGCCCTCATCATTCCTCATGGTGAAAGAGACCTGACAATTGAGGAAGTAGTGGGTAGGCATTGCTTTCCCTTCTCGAAGTGCCAACTTTCCCATAGGAATAGCTCTAGGGCCGGGGCGGGGGAGGGTGGGGGACGAAGGAGGGGACCAGCAGCAAGAGTACAGTAAGAACAAAGCCCTGGGCATCCTGCTGGTGGGTCTCCAGGGGGCCTCCATGATGGCATGCAGAGCTGTGTGTTGTGACACCCCAGAGTGGTAGGCACACGCCCAGGGGTCAGGCTTGGTTTTTCATGTGATCTTGAAAACTCTGGCCTTGGATCCTTTCATAACAGGACAGAGAAGATTCCCACAAACCATCCCTGGATGTTTTAGGAAACGACACGCTTCTACAACCCTGCAACCCTTCAAACCTTTTTTTTTTTTTCTTTTTCCAGCTTTACCCTTTAGCGGAATAGCTGTTTTCATTCAGACACAGAAGCAAGTGAACTCCCTCAGGATCGCTCTGAATTGAAACAATCCTGCTGGTGGCATGAGAAAACAGGTGATCCAGGTGACCGGCTAAGGTTTGGGACGTCATCCCCCTGGAAAGAGTGAGCCCAAAGCAGTAGTCAGGTTACCTGTCCTGTCAGGGTCTCTGGGCACCCAAGCATACCTGCCCCATCTCCTTTCCTATGACAAGAAAGGCTCACCATGGTAAGGGTCCTCAGACACAAGGATCCACCTTTCCTGAAGGCTCGGGAGCCCCAAGCCCAGGCTCTGCTAGAGCAGCCTGAGCTCAAGTCAGCCTCACGTGGAGGGAGGAACCTGGCTGAGACTAAAGATTCCTTGGGATGCAAAGCCTGGGGTGGTGAATGCAAAGCGCAGGAAGACATCATACAGACTGCTAGCTCACGCACATCTGAGCAACAGGAGAGACGCTTGGAAGTTTGAGCACAGGAGAGATGTTCACTTTTCCTTTGAAATGTTTAAATCTTTTTATAATCCACCACCCTTCCTCTGGTGTGTGTGTGTGTGTGTGTGTGTGTGTGTGTGTGTGTGCAGCGTGTTCATGCAGGTATGCATGTGTGTGCAGGTACTTGGATATGTATTCATGCATACATGTGCATGTGTGCATGTATTTGTGTTCATGCAGATGAGCATATATGTACAGGGACTTGTGCATGTATTCGTGCATGCAAGTGCATGTGTGCATATGGTATACAGAAGTCAGCTCAAATGTTATCCCTCAAGAATCATCCACTTCGTTTTTCAAGACAAGGGTTCTTACTAAGACCCGAAGCTTGTTAAGTAAGCTAGGCTGGCTGACCAGTGAGCCTTAAGGCTCCACCTGTCTCTGTCTCCCCAGCACTGGGATCACACGTGCATGAGCCCCGGGTTTGATGAAAGACTTTGTCTCAGACTATAAGGTAGAGCCAGACACAGTGATGCACACCTTTAATCCTAACACTCAGGAGGCAGAGGGGGGAAGGGAGGGAAGGAAGGAGGGAGGAAAATTGAACTTGGGGAACAAATGTCATCTAGAACTTTGGTATAGAGGTGTTTTAAATCCACGCCCCTGGTTTTCTTTGTGACTTGGCTTTTATGCACCCCCGTCAGCAATGTGAGTACTGGGGGAATATAACCACATAGCTGTCAAGAGATGACTGAGCCTTCAAGGCTGATGAATCTGGCTTGAAGATGAGCTGTGCATGCAGCATCCAGGACCTCAGACTGCGCACTGCACAAAGGACCAGGATCTCTAGTGGTTAGCTTGCTGCACCCCGGCCAGCAGGTGCGTTTTCACCCAGAGCTTCCGTTTAATTCCTCTCCTACTTCCCAGGGCTAGCCCACGAGATCTTTATGATTCTAGACTGGAAGGGTTGTGAGATGGGGGAGAGGCAGGAGAGGCAGTGCACCTTAGTACATGCTCAGCAGAGGGGGAGAAACAGGGCCATGCTGCAACACAGAGAAATGAGGGGTGGGGTTAGAAGGAAGAGCTGTTTGCTGCCTGTCAGTCACAACTAGCTGGCCTCTTTCACATGGGGCTGGTCACGAGCCCTTCCTAACACAGAGAGGGGACCACCCTGAGGTCTCTCTTTACTGCTCCCGCCTTGTAGCCCTCCAGGAGCGACAGGAAGAGTGGGCATGTACCCCAAGAGTCTCTCCCATTCACATTTAAGCCCCTGTACGTCGGTCTCTGGGTCCTTGCAGTAAGAACTGGCCAGCCGGCCACGGCCCTGAAGGACAGGCCACAGGGACTTAAACCACAGCCAGAGAAAAATGGCTGACACCGAAGCCTTTAGTAACAGGGCAGGGCATTGATGGAGGGAGCCGCTGAAGAGCAAGGACACTGAATGGGGGAAGAAGGGAAAGGGGGAAGGAGAGAGGAGGAGTTGGAGGGGGAGAACTCAGCCTTTGCACCTGCGCTTCCGTTCTGCCAGCTCCAGGAACTGGGGCAGGTTTCAACCGGACATGCACTTGCTCGCCCAGTCAGTGCAGAGAGAGCTGTCATGAAGACACTGCCCCTGGACCCACAGAGCTTGAGACATCAGCTCCCAAGCAGCAAAAAGCCAGTGGCTCCTAGAAACAACCTCTAGCTTCCCAGTGCGCGCCTGCTGTCTGCTCATGGTCCCTGAGGCTAACCTCAGGAGCAGCAGGAGGCAGGGCCTAGCTCTGTCCTACTGCATGTGGGAGAAACACACTCAGAAAAGAGATGACCAAACTCAGACAGGACACGTGGACGAGGAGAGATGAAGTGCTGCAAAGGGGGACACTTGTGGGGGTGTCACACTACAGGAAGGCACCTCCCCTGCATAAGGCTAATCCCACAGAAAGGAACCTCAGAGAATTTTCCAGAATAAGCTACAGCCACAGGCGGCTCACATCTGACCATACTAATAAGTGAAAACCAGGTAGGAGGCTGCAGCCATGCAGCAGAAACCTCCTTGCTTGGTTGATTTCTTCAGGGGAAAGGAAAGAGCCACAAGCTGTCCCCGAGCCAGCCACCCTAGGTCTCTGCTCTCACTATGGTAGACTTCTCCTCCTCCCAGACTGTATCTGGCCACCAGCCCCACCCACCCCTTCCCTGCTGAAGGCCGCAGCTGGAAGTGCCCACAGAGAGCAGCAAGGTTTTGTTGGGTCCCAGTGCCAAAGGCCTCAAGCAAGGATCTAGCCCTTAGGCAAGCATGGGGCATCTTGTCATCTACCATCCTGTCCTAGGCAGTACTTTCTAAGCTTCATCTTTGTGGCTTCGATTGCTACTGTCTCTGAATCCTCTAAGGCAACACTGTTTTTCCCTGCAAGTACCCCACCTGGAGCTTCTCCCTGCAGGCCAGTGCCTTCCAGCCTCTCTCCACACTGTAATTGCTGACATCCCCATCCTAGAATTCAAGTATAGATAGCAGCTTTTTCAGAAGTACCCCCCCTGGGGGGGGCAAGAGTGGCAGAGCTGACTATAAACATAGCTCATGCTAGACCCATTCAGCAGCTGCTGCGCCCATCACAGAGGTCACACCACAGCAGCCATGCAGCCCTTTGCCGGGCAGCCTGCACCAGAGCTCCTCCCAGCCCTGCTGTTCCACTCAGACCCCATGCACGGCCAGTGTAATTCCCACCCAGCTGCCTCCCTGCAGCCTGAAGTCCTGGAGGTCAGAGCTGCATGCACTCTGTACTTGGCCCTGAGCCCAGCAGTCGCAAGTTTTCCTGAAAGCCACTGTGAGCCTTGACCGAGAGGAAGTACAGACCCTGCAGACCGGCACTTATTCCCATCCTCACCGGACCCCACTTTATCCAGCTGGCCCTCACCTCTGCCTTGTCCGCTCCAGCTGGGGCCTTTGACCCCTCAGCAGAGCCATCCTATAGCCTCAGCATTCAAGACTGAGCTACTGCCAGTGTGACTCAAGCCCTCCTGAAGCCTTAGCCATTGAGGTCACCTTGGGCACCCACGATGACCTCCTGTCACTGGTGTCATCACCATCATTCACAGTGACCTAAGTGGTCAGTGCCACCGCTATCACCCACTGTGACCTCAGTTGTCATCGATGCCACCTCCATTACCCACTGTGATCTCAGTTGTTGTCGATGTCACCTCTATCACCCACTGTGATCTCAGTTGTAAGTGTCACCTCAGACACTTGTTGTGACCTTGGTCACTAGTGTCACCTCATTTGCAGGGGTCATCTGTGGCATCTGCTCTGACCCTGCTTTCCCGCTGCCCTGTTTCCCAAGCCTTTTATCCCCCACCGCATGTACCAGTTAACAGGGGCGTGAGTCTTTCTTGTCAGCTACAGCCAATCTACTAACCTGGGGATTTATTTTATTCTTAGCTCCTCCATTGCCTCCCCACTTGTGACTAGTGCAGCTGTCCCTAGTGTCCAGAGACTGTCTTCTGCTGTATGAGCTTCCTCTTCCCAAATTCCTCTTCACTTCCTCTCCACTGGCCAGCCCTGGCCTGTGGTGACCTCTCCCGCACAGACCCTCCGCTAGCCAGATCTAGCCAGGGTTTCCCCAATCCCTCACTGCCACGGCTGTATCTGAAATAGAGCCCATGATTAAGATGGCAAGTGTTTATTGATGGACATGAAGAAAGATGGGTTGGATGGATGGGTTGATGGATGGATGGTAGATAAGTTGATAGAAGGATGAAAAGATGGTTAGGAGAACAGAAAGAAAGAAAGAAAGAAAGAAAGAAAGAAAGAAAGAAAGAAAGGAAGGAAGGAAGGAAGGAAGGAAGGAAGGAAGGAAGGAAGGAAGGAAGGAAGACAGATGATGGATGGATAGATAGATAGATAATGGATGGATAGATAGATAGATAGATAGATAGATAGATAGATAGATAGATAGACAATCAGTTGACTCACATCATTTTCAAATCCCACACACCTGCACAGAAGTTACTGGATCAGCCCAATGATATCCCCAAAGCTTGTCATGCCTAGAACCGTGGCCTGTGGAGATGTCTAACAACATCACAGTTCGTGACACTTGGGTGCCTGTGTGCTGTGGAGGGACCAGCAAAAACTGGCCAGCCTCTGATCAGGCCCAGCGTTTCCCTCACAGATCAACTTCACCGCTGAGATGCCCATTGGTCGGCTGGAAGCTGCCAGTCAGTGGTAAGGATCCTGAGGGTCCTGCAATGAGGCCCCCTGACCTGAACCGCCATAGGAGCCAATGGGAGCGTGTGACTGCATCTGTCCTGAAAGGTGAGGAGAGCTATGGTTTGGATCTGGCTTATCAATCAAGGATCTACAGACTGGAAGCTTGGTACTTAGAGTGTCACCATGGAAGGCGGCAGTGCCTTTAAGAGGCAGTGTCTTATTGGAAGTCATGGGATCAATGGCAATGCTTCCCAGGAGGAAAATAGATGTTTTATATGGGATTCTGGCTGCTTCTTGTTGTGATGACTTCGTGTGTGTGTGTGTGTGTGTGTGTGTGTGTGTGTGTGTGTGTGTGTGTGTGTACACCACTGAGCCCTCATTACAGCCTCTACTGGAGCCAGCACCAGTCCTATGTTCCACGAAAGTTACAAAGGGGCTGAGCAACGTGTGCCTCTGGGCAGATATTAGCTTCAATTGAGGTGGGATGCTCCACCCTAAATATAGATGCCACCGTTCTCTAAGCTGGGATCGTGGACTGGCCCAAAGGAGACCATGAGCTGGATGTTTATCTCTGCTTCCCGGCTGTGCGTACAGCGCGAGCAGATGCCTTCTGCTGCTGTGACTTCCCAGGTTTGTGGGAGTGCCCCCTCAAACTGTGAACAAACCTTTCCTTCCCAGGTCGCTTCTGCTGGGTGTTCTGTTACAGCAACAGGAAAAGAGACCAATACAGAAGCTAATTTTGGTGGATTAACATCAAGGCGGTGGCAAGGCTGGGCTTTCTATGGAGACCTGGGGCTGAGTTTATCTCCTTCCCTCTTCTAGCTTCTGGTGGCCACTAGCTTGGTGGTCTCTGGGGTCACCACCATCCCTCCTTTCTGTGTGGAGCCTCCTCTCATTAAGGACTTGGCTGGCATCTTGGTCCACCCTGGGTCACCTGCACACCCATGGCCATCTCTCAGCAGCACTTGCCAAGACTTTGTCCTATGTTTGTCTCTATAAGGTGACTCTCGCAGGCTCTGTTAGGGTGAGCTCTCTGTCGCTGGGTCTGACAGGTTACATTGGGCCTGGAATTGGGACACATGATCTACAGTTCCAGCTGCTTTCATAATGGTGTGGTCCAACATGGTGCCCGAGGTCCCAGGACACAGGAGAGAGAAGCTGGGGCCACCATTGTCACTGCCGCTGTCTGTTCTGAGAGTGTGGAAAGCAGAATACCAACTTCCACAGAGACTTTGAAACAGAGGTACCCACTGTTTGTCTGCATGGACGTTTCCTAGGCTGTGCGGTCACAAACCCCAGCATGGTCACTTCCCTGAAAGGTGTCATCACTGGCCAGAGGAAGTGCGCTGTAGCATAGCCAGGACATGGTCAGTGGGTGTTAAGAGGGGTCAAGAGCCAGGGTTGAGGAGGCACAGAGCCCCTGCCTCTTGAGCTGCAGGCCATCCCAAGATACGTTATCTCTGGCCAAGGACCTGAGCCTTCTAGAGACAGTGTTTGAGCTGCAGACAGGGGAATCTGGTGTCTGTCCTGTGTGTGACCTGAGGAGGCACTTCCAAAGAAGCTTCTGGACATGGAGAGAGGAAGAGGACCTCTGTCTGGGAGCACTGCTGCTGTTTCCACCAAGTCAGTCATCTTAGAGAGCTCTTATTAATAATATTTTAGAGGCTGGAAGAGGTTAACAATCTCCAATAAAATCCCAAGGACAGAATCATCAAAGGGTTGATAGTAAAAAATGATACTAAGACCTGGAAGGGATGGCCCACACAGGCACGAGGATCTGAGTTCAAATCCCCAGAACCCGCTTTATGCTGGGCAGACATTGTGGTGTGTGTCTGAAATTCCAGTGCTCCTACAGTGACATGAAAAGCTGCGTCAGGAGACTGCCCAAGAGTTCAAGGGCCAGTTAGCCCAGTGTACTCTACCTCCAGAGAAAGATGCCCTGCCTCAAACAAGGTGGGAGATAAAGACTGACACCTGAGGCTGACCTCTGACTCCTTCTGTGTACCATGGCAGGTGAGTCCCTGCAAGTATGTGCGCACGTGCACACACATACACAAATGCACTTGAACACACATGCATACCTGCGCGTGCATGTATACACATCCCCTACACACAAAGATTTTAAACCTGACCCTGAATCTCTGTGCTCTGACAGCTATGGGAGTGTGAGGAGAGAATCTCTGTTCTTCATAGATGCTCCTAGCATCTTCGTGTGTGGCTGAGCCACCTGCCTGAAACTGCCCTTCACATGGGTCAATAAACTCAACACCAAAGATCTAGAGAGCAGACATGGCCCAGGTTACCAGCTGCTGAAGGTGGAGAGAAGGCCATCTGGTTATCAATCTCTGTAAGAGTGGAGTTTCTTTAATAAAAGTCAGGAATATTAGGAGCAGAGAAAGATGGTGACAAACCAGGAAGTTCGACTGACCCTTGCTCAGGATTCAGTTTAGTGGTGTTGGGGAGCATCCTTGGATGAGAGGCTCATGGGAGCAAGGAAACCATACCTGGGCATCCAGGCCAGGGGTGGAGCAGGGAGATGAAATGGGATTGGGAACTGCACTGAGGAGCCTTCCCAGAGCTACAATCAGACAGGCAGGGCAACTGTCAGCGACCTGAGAATGAGCCTCGGCTAAACTGATTTGATTTCAGAGGCTACAAATGGCTGGTGAGAGCTCAGATACAGAGCCACATGACTGTGTTCCTGGGGGCTGGAGACCCCAGCAAATCTCCTCTGTGTTTGGAGGTCTTTGCTGCAATGCTGAAAGATCCAGAGACCTAGACTAATGAAGACAAGCAGCAAACGATGCCCCTCCTGCAAGCTCAGATCACCTCTCAGCTCTCAGTCTGAATAAATCAGATAATCACAACCCCTAGCTCAAAAATGGTCATGTAACCCAGTTCTAGCCAGTGAATTACAAGACAGCATCGGTCAAGGGGCTTCTGGGAGGATGCTCAGAAGAGCTGGTGTCCTCTCTCTGCCGATCATGTTATAGTAGGACACCAGGAACTACTGCAACCACCCTAGGACATTCCAAAAGACACAGGCAATGTCAAGGCTCCAAGGCAGAGATATGGGAAGGACATGGGACCTGGAGGATGCTAGGCTGCAGCCCCATGGCTGCCTGCCCTATAGGGCTTGGCTTCTGTGACTGGTAGAAGCCCAGAAGATGAGGCCATATAGCACTTTGCCTCACCTAAGCGAGGAGTCCCTTCCCCTAGAGTGGTGGTTCTCAACCTTCCTAGTGTTGTGACCTTTTAATACAGTTCCTCATGTTGTAGTGACCCTCCACACACACAACCATAAATTCTTTCATTGCTACTTCATAACTGCAATGTTGTTACTATTCTGAATTGGAATGTAAATATCTGGTATCTGATCCCTAGAGGGATCACAACCCACAGATTGAGAATTGCTGTCCTAGAATGATACCCAGCATGGGCACAGAACACAGGATCCCTAACACCAGGAACCTGTCCAGGAAACACCCCAGACAGAGCTGTCACCAGGGACCATCTGCAACCCCTGTGCCATCTGCCAGCCCATTGCACCTGACAAGATGAGGAACTCATTCCAACCCCTCAAGGTGAGTCTAGCCTTTGAGAAGTACACAGTGGGTCCTGGGACTGGACACAGCCCCCATCCTCCAATCCAAGCATCTTTCCATGAAAGTCATGGGTTCTTGTTCAAATGTACTTTCGAGCCCCACCCCTTTCCAACCTGTGCAATCCCATGATGCAATCCTGGACACAGACCTGCCTATGGGACCCCCTGACAACATGCAGAGGAAAAGCAAGTCACAAAAAAAAGCCACTTGGAGCAGCTGAGAATCTGAACCACAGGCCAGCGACAGATGCAAGTCTCCTATGAAATGGCCTCAGGAGACAGATGCTCTCTAAGTGGTTCAGAACCTCTGCCCTGTGGGCCTTCAGAGTCCAGCTGGGCCTTAATGGCTTAGGAAGTGAGGGGGGGTGTCCGCAGGGCCCAGAGGGCCCAGGACAGGATGAGGTTCATGAGCTAGGCACGCAATTTGGTCTTGAACTCTGGAGCTCTGAGCAAGAGGCAGCTGGCGGTGGGGGGTGGGGGTGTCTTGGCTTCTGTTTTCCAGCTGACAGAGAGATAGTACTGTTTCCTCTTCCTTGAAGGCTGGAGTACACTGCCAGAATGCAAGGGGTCATGGAGAGCCCAGCAGAACCTTCGAAGACCCAAACATAGAGGGTCAGCTGCCATATGTGGGTTTGCTCGCCGCCATTCCCAGCCGCACACTTCCGCTGAGCTTCCCCAGCTCATAGTCAGAACCCAAGAAGAAACAAAGATTTGAAATGAGGGTCAGTGGGTTCCAGGCTTCAGGGTTGCTTCTGTGCCAGAACGCCTGCTTGTTTCCAGTTGGGTGACCTTCGACAAGCGACTTCACCTCTCTGGTCTTTTGTCTTGCCACAAAAATGTGAATGACAATAGAAGGTCCCTTTCAGGACATCTGGTGGGACTAAGGCGTTGTGTGCCAAGGACACAGGACCTACCCTAGCTCACAAGAACATCTATAAATATGTAGCAGTTGCTAAAGATGCACAGCGCTTGACAGTTTGGAGAAGGCTTTCCTGATCACCTTTGCTCTGACTGAAAGACAGAATGGCCCACCCTGGAACAGCTCAGAGATTCCTCACACTGCCTGGGGGCTACAGAACCTGATCTCCGAGGGCCAGCTTGTGGCCCCAAGCTGTGTTACAGCATTGATACTCTGGCTGGCTTGGATCAGTTACTTCCCCTCTCTGATCCTGATTTCCTCATCTAAGGAGTAAAAGCCTGCACAGTGTCCAGATCTCCAGGGTCTCCACAGCCTCGTCATCAACCTGATGAAACTTTTTGCTTCAGTGGCATCTCTGGTCCTGGTTATATCCTGAGTGTTTGCTTCAGCCTGCCTGGTGTCAGGTCTCAGCAGGTGGCTTCAGTATCTTTCCAGTCCTCAAAGCAGCCTGGACAGATAAACCATGGAATACCCATTGTACCGATGGGAAAACTGAGGTACAGAGATGCACATTCCACAAGATAACTCACAATACAAGCGACACCAGTTGGAGAGGATTCTAACTCATAGTGGTCTAATTCAGCCTTGTACCCTGATGTCACCTCTACCCAGGGATCCAAGCCAGCTGAGCCAGTTCAGCTCCTTTGTAAATCACCAGACTTCACCAAGTGTCTGTCATCTTGGAACCTTCGTGATGACGGTGATATAGCAAGACCAGCCCCCAGAGTGGTAATCCTGACATCACCAGGATCCCTGCATCCGTGCACAGCCCTGTGTGCTTGTGTTGCAGAGGCCTCTGCACCAGGTACATGAGGAGGCAAGGCCTCAGGAGCCAGCCCTGCCCTAAAGCCCCTCAGTCTGGGAACGGTCGTCAGACGTGGAAGAGCCACAGAAAAGTCCAGAGAGAGCACCACTAGGTCTGGGGTTGCACATGGCTTCTTTCTCGCTCTCCTCTTGAAGTCACACACACACACACACACACACACACACACACACACACACACACACCTGAGTCCCACTCAAGTGACGGCACTACAGCTTGTGTGGCCCAGAGCTGAACAAACTCCCTGGCATAGAGCTGAAACTGCCCTCCCTGGCCCCTAAGTAGGAGAATAAGGGGTCTGAGGAGCAGGGATCATCATTACAAAATCCCTTGCGATTTGGATTGTTCCCTAGCAACCCACACAGACTGCCAGCAGCCTGGGACTCCAACTCATCTTAACTCACGGATGACTTGTGGCCAGTGTTCCCTTCTCCAGCCAAACCTGAACTTTGCTCTGCAGAGAAACCTGACTTCACTGTTCCTGGTTGTCACCCATGTTGTTCCTGCATTGACCCCTTCGTGAGAGCCAACTGTGCCATCTGCTCCAAGCCCTCGGTCACATCCCTCCAGCAGGTTAAGGTCACCTGGGTGGTGAATTACACCAGAGAAACTGGAAACCCTCTACCCACCTTCACCCTCCCCAGACCGGGGGCCCTAGCTGCTAAGTTTCTCTCAATGTGAAACTTCAAATGGCCCCAATTTCCTTAAAGTCTCGGGTTTTATCTTTAATATCCCGTGTGTTTTTCTGTTATCCACAAAATGTTTGTTAGTTCCTTAGGGCATTTTAGGCTCACAAATGGACTGACCTCAAACTCAAGATTCTCCTGCCTCAGCCATCTGAGTGCTGAGATTACAGGCGTGCACCACCACACCTGACTAAGCTTATTCTCAACTTCCATAGGACCCTTTTTAAACGGCCAGCCACCTTGTTAGTGGTGGGGGTGGAGTGACAGCCCAATGTTGCCCCCAACAACCTCGAGGCGTTGCCACCCAGCTCAGGGACCTCCACCCAGATCTTCAGTTTTGCCACAGAAAGAACTTCGGGATTAGCCACAGAGAAGCGAAGGTACTAAGTTTATCAGCTATTTTGAAGGAGTCATGGAGAGGGACACGACACACTCACATCAGGCTCAAACTCCTCGAGGAAGAGCAGCACTGAGGTGTAGTGTCGAGGGTTGCACAGGGGACCCTCTGCCTTCTAAGTGTGTTCTTCGGGGATTTATTTACACTATGGTATAAAGATTAGGCGAAGCTTAAATAAAACGGGTCTAATTATCTTTCTTAAAACACTTCCCTTTCGCGAATAGAACTGTCCGGTGGTTTTGTGATATTTGCTATATCGCCTTTGGGTGAGAGAGCAATGTTAATTCAGCAGAACTCAAGGCCCGCACATCCTGGCCCTACTAAGCGCGGTTCACCTCTTGTTCTGAACATCTTCACTGTGTTGCCGTTTCTTGACCCACAGCCCTCAGCAAAGGTAGATGAGACCCCAGGATGAGGCGCTTCTTTGCCTTCCCAGGTTCCCTTCGCTTTCTGTTCTGCGTCAACATACTCAGCCCCTGCTCAGGTTATCTTTCAGGCCCTAGGCCAGCAGCCGTGCTCCACTGAGGCTGGATGCCTCTGACTGCAGGACTCGGTACCCTGAGGAAGGAGGCTATGCGGACAGAGCTGAGCAGCGCGAGAATAGCGGAAATGCCCTGCGTGGCAGGCAGCAGTGACAAACGACATTTGCATGTGTTCATCCCGTGGATGTTCACCACCAAGACTGCACTCTGATGTCAGCCAGACCTGGGTGACAATAACAGGCCCACATGGACCGGGACTCTGGAAAGTGGATCTGTGATGGGGAGGAGGGTCCAGGGTGTGTGGGAGCCCTTGGTGTCTCTCACTGTCTCACTGCCATCCCAAATACAGTTTATTTTTAAATTTTCAAAAGAAGAGAAGGCCCAGAGCATCGCCCAGGCTCCAGGTGTCCCTTCAGACCCCAGATCCTATCCCTCCGCCTCCTGGCTTTAATTAGCACTAGTGAAAGTGGCCGGTCCAGGGACCGGTTCCTCCTTGGGCAGGGGAGAAGCTGCGGGCTGGCAGGTGCCACACCCTCGCACCCCCCTCCTCGCAGGCAGATGTTTTCACCGTGTGGTCAGGTTTGGGGAAGCTCTGGGTGGTGGTTCCTTCAGGTGTCTTCAGAGCCACACCTGAGAAGTGTCAAGACACGGCCTTGGGTCCTGCATGGGACCTGCTGAGATAAACTGCAAGGGCCAAGCTCGAAACTCTACTCTCTGCCGTCCAGCTGCCATGGCGGGTGGGGCTGTCCCAGAGGGTCAGGAGAAGGTGGAATGCCTAACTCCGTCCTCCCAGCCAACTGTCCCCTGGGTCCTTCCCCACAGTTACTACTTGCTGCGTAATGTCAGGCAAGGCCCTGGCTGCTTGTCCCTTGGTTTCTCCAGCTGTGACATGTCAAAGGGTAAAACCTTTGACCTTGTGTTACTGATGTGAGGGTCTGAGCCTGGGGTCCAGCAGCCCAAACAACCCAGAAGGTGGCTCAGACACCAATTAATAGATCAATTAAACAGAGAAAGGAACAAAGCAAACAGGCAGAGAAAGATTCATTCAGTGTGTCTATGATGGAAGGAGGTGCAGTGACCCACCCCCACTCCGCCCCGTCCCTCACGCACAAATGTCTATTCGGGATTCTGAGGAGTTTTGTGTTTAAATAGAGAAGTGTGCAGAGAACATCTGTCCTGGTCCAGGTGTGGCCCTGACCATCACAGACCACCACTGTCCCGGCCCCAGCCTCCCCGAAAAGGCTGTCTGACAAGGTTGGAGCTGTGTGAAATCTCTTCCCTCTGGCCGGCACCTGCTTCAGGCTTTTCCTTCCCACAACAGGAGACTCTCCCAGCAAAGGTCTGTTGTCTCCAGGGTCTGCTAGACAAAGGGAGGGCTCAAGGGTCTCTTTAGGAAATCTTCATGCCTGCCAGGACCCCTCTGTACACCCAGAGTGCAGTTACATTAGATTAAAAGACACGCCTCAACTGGAAACTATGCAGCCCGATAAGTTTGTGAACCTCCAAACATGGCAGCCAATCATGGGGGCCTTGTACCTGGCAGCCCCTCGCTTGAGTGTTGCGGGATATTTGATGGCACTATGAAACTCGGAGACTGTGTTCAAAAAATTAACCTTGCATCAGGGACCAGAGCCAGTGACTAGCTGACAAGACTTAGCCATAGAGAGTGTGAAGGACCTAGGAATATGGATGAAGAAATGCACAGGAAGGAGTAGGGAGGGACTTAGAGATTCGTAGTCCTTTCTGGTTTGGGACAAGGGGACACTCTTCTCGTGCTTGGTCTCCAGTCAAAGAGGAAAGTCAGCTAGTTGCTTCTTAACTTTCTGATCCAGAAGGTTTCACCCCAACATCTGACTCCTGAGTCCTCCCCTGTTATCTCCGGGGAACAGTGACTCCCCAACTCCTGAGTCCTTGGGAATGAGGGGCATAAAACTGAGGGCCAATGCTGAGCAGCCCAGGCTTCGCACACCAGGACAGTACTGAACACAAAGTGAATAAGCACCAAGTATCCAGCACTGAGGACTGTAGCAGTCTACGCCACAGACCACAGAGACTGAAGAGGAGAGGGGTCTTCTAAAATGATCTTCCAGGCGGTGCATTTCCTCTAAGCCGGTTCTCCAAGTTGATAACTGCCTGCTCTTTGTCCTAAGGGACTTTGGAGATGTTTTTGTTTAACCACAGCCAGCCAGTGAGACAGGAGCCACTGCTGTACCACCATCAGGTTGAGAATTGTTAAATGGCTGCTTAAGTCACACAGCCCAGGCCAGTGGCTTTAGTAAGAGACTGCCGGTTCAGACCTGAACCCCTAAGAGCAGGTTTGCCTCCAGGTTCTAGGGTCTGAGTCTTTCTAGGTGCTGGCATCTGAGTCCCTCTGGGTGTTAGGCTCTGTGTTCTCAAACATAATAAATGAATCCTAAGAATCTATGTCACAGGAGAAGTGACAGAGAGCTGGTAGATACTAAGAGTTAGTCCTGTGTGCTAAGCAGGGCGCCATCCATGGCAAGCTCAGCGAAAGACAAAGCTGGACAGTGGCTGAGGAGGGGTCAGGGAGAAACTCTGGAGATGTGATATGGGAGAAGAGCTTGGCGGAAGTGAAGAGAAAACTAATTCAATGGGCAACAGGGTAAGGGGCCTGAGCCGCTTGTGACTGCCTGGGGGCTGAAGAGGGAACCCTGGAGAAGTAGACTAGGATCAGGCAACACTACCCCCACCCCTCAGCAATTCCAGTCCTGAAGGGACGAAAAGACCCACATGTCTGCTCATTCGAAGTACTATCCTGGGAGTCACACAGACCGAGGGCGTATCTGTGACTCTCCCTTGCCCTCTCCTAGTGACAGTTTGAAGGTGTGTGGCTCTGAGAACAGTGTGCATGATGGAACACATTAAAAAGAATCACAGTTCAGATCACAGCCCGGCCCCATGGTGAAGGCAAAACAGCCCTGGATGGTGAGCAGGCAGGCAGGGGAAGCTCTTTCCCCGCTTTCAGATTTTATATAACATGTTTACTTGGCACTATTTTTACAACTAATTAAAAAAAATTACTGGGGAAGATGCGTTCCAACCAAGCCAGTGACTGAGAGAGGGGTGGTAGCCCAGTTTGGTTTCCCTTCCTTGTGAGGTGCCCTCCCACCTGTGTTTCAGGATACCTCACCACTGCTGATGGAAGTGAGCCAGCCCCAGGGACGCTACACCCACAGGGAGCATCCTCCAGCTGCACAGCCAGGTGCTCCAGCCCCTGGGTGCTCCAGAAAGGTCATCTTGACCCCAACAGTCTCCAGCCCAAAGCTCACACCAATGTTAACATGGTGGGGTTTATGTGTTCCACAGGACTCCTGACAAAATTACAGCCCAAAGGTACCCTGACCTCGGCCATCTGAGGCCAGACTGTTTGGTTGTCAGAGTGCCCCTAATCCCAGATGGAGCCAGCCACCTCTTTCCCAGGTCCCTGGAGGTATTTGAGACCTGGTACCAGCCAGAGTCAATGCCCATTCCCTCCCCTCTCTGAGCTAACCAGGTCCCAATCACCTTGTGGGGGTCCTAAACAACAGGCCACAGCCAGAGGCAGGAACCCACGACTCTACATCCTCCATGAACCTCCCACAGAGCAGAAGTTCTCAGAGAGTCTCACTCGGGCCTTGCTCCTCACCAGCCTCTCCTGCCTTCCAAGCCTCCTAATCTAACTTAGAAAACACCAAAAAGGAGTCTGTAGCTGCCTTGGACTGTTTAGATAAAATCATGGCAGGAGTCCTGACAGTCTGCAGACAGGGCGGGCGCCACGCTCTCATCCCCACCCCTGATGCTTCCGGTGAAGCAAACGTGAATTGTTGGGAAGATCACACAACTCTGTGCACACAGCAAAAGTGGCCAGGGTCCTCCCTCTCCGGTCTCTCCCAGGCTTCCCAATCCTTGTCATCTCTTCGGGGAAAAAAATTAGAGGAGACACAGAGGTATCTTGGAGGACAAAGACTTTTATATGTTGTGGAACACGCTCAAGGGTGGGAGTGAGCAGTGGCCCAAGGGACCATTATGGAGGGAAATGCAGTGTGACCATGCAGAGAGCTGGTCATGCTGCCCCACCTGTTTAGGCAGGCTTCGTGCTATGCTCCTGAAGTCTCTGGGACAGACAGCTTTCCTGAGCAGTGCCTTCCTGTGCAGGTGATTGACAGGCCAGTGGATTAATCCTTAAGGGACAGGCAAGGTTCATCTTCGATCTTTACCAGGAAGCCTCTGCTAGGTAGAAATCCTAGATCTTTCTGGCAATTCAGAAAGTCATGTCTCCACCCAGGGTCGGCAGTAGCAACTCAGATTCCATTCTACCAGATCCGAGTTCTGCAGCTTCAGCTCCTGGTTTTCCAAGTTGCTGATTGGGATTGTGGGTCTATCCTCAGGGGCTTCAAGCCTGGTAAAATCTATCAGCCTAACACTGGAGCCCACCGGACTGAAAAGTTTAGAGGTGTGCACGGGCGAATTACAGGGGATGTGACGTCTACCCAAACAAGACTGTTAGAACACGGTGCAGGTGACTCCGGCCAGGACAGTGTCCCTTGTGCTATTCTTACAACTTTTCTGCATGTTGGGGCTGGAGAGGTGACCAAGTGGTTTAGAGTCGTTGTTGCCCTTTCAAAGCACTGGGATTCAGTTCTAGTCACCTATGTTGGATGACTCCCAACTGCCCATGACTCCAGATCCAGCAAATCCCACACTTTCTTTTTGCCATTACAG